GTGTTGTCGTACGCCAGGCAGACTGCAATGTCCACTGTCGCCAAGGACATGAAACCTGGGACCTCGTGCTTCGAGGCGGTTGGTGAAGCTATTGCCCAGTTATCAGCGGAGTGCAACAAGTTACTCCCTTTGGCAATGGAACCTGAGAACGTGTTCAAGAGTAGGCTTCTTTAAACTCTGATATTCGTCAAATATCATGCTAACGATGACCAAGTCTCCGGCACACCACCATGGGTGCTACGAATTGAGGAGATCAGAGCCAGCATGGCCATCAATGCTGAAGCCGAGCAGAAAGCTGCACAGCTGCAGGAAGAAATACAAGGACTTGTACGGAGTCTCAAGACGAAAGACCAAGTGATACAGGAGTCAGGGGTGAAGATCGAGCACATGGAACGGCGCATGGAAGCGGTCAAGAAGCAAGCGGATACCATCGGGGATCTTGAGATTGAGCTCTCGAAAGCGCGCAAGCAGGAACGTGCATACGAAGAGGCAATGGAGCAACTGCAGGCAGACCTGGATACGTTCGAGCAAGACAATGCGAAACTGAAGGCGTTGGTTGCGGGTTCAGAGCGACAAGGTATGTTTCTTTGTATTGGGGTCAATTGCACAGTCCGATAACTTGCCGTATCCAGCTGCTGGCACACAACCTGTCGATTCAGAGAATGTCCCCATGGAGGGTAATGTGGAGACATCACACCTTCTGGAGCAGGTCCGTGCAGGTCTAGAGCCATCTTATCATTGTTGTTCTGACTCTCACATAGATCGAGGCTCTTCGTGGCACCGTCCGCTTCTTGCGCACAGAAAACTCGTATCTCAAGGGCCAGGACCTGCTCAAGGAAATACAAGCACTACCACATCTCCCAGAACCTATCGGTCGTGTACGTACACCTCCACTGGACCCCTCAGGACAATCCGACACAGACGAATCCGATACGGAACTTCCATCCGCTCCTCCTACCATTCGCTCGCTCGCCACAGAAACCAAGGTTCTCTACCGGGACGTTATCAAATTCTCCTCATCGCCTCGTGTTGTTGACCTATCCGCTCTTCATGCAAAGAGAGCAGAAAGTGATTGTAAAGGTGGGAAGATGTGGATGCGGAGGAAGGATAGTCCTGCTCAGCAAGTCCTTGATCGGAAAATAGAGGCCGAGAGACTTAGCAGGCGCGTCAGAGGCCTATTGGATCGTGCAAATGCGTTATGAGGGGTTTCATTAATACCTTGCTTCATTTTTTATGTTACTCTACTAATATCAGGTTGTATACCCCTATGTATTACGAGGAGGGGATAAGGTAGTAAACGTCATGTACATGGACAATCAATATGAGCATATGGACTGATAACTTTTTATCTTTATATCATCGCGCGATGTTCAGTTGTAGCCTTAGGAAGCTCAGTGCAGTGTCACCGTGCCATCAGTTTGTTTGTATCAGTTAGGTTTTAAAGCCTTTGCCAAACAACTCATATGCAACTCAAGCACCGCCAATCCCTCTAGCTATGGCTGATGAATTTGATCTCGAAGCACTCGTGCACTTGGAACAGACGTTGGCTTCATTATTTTTGTAATTGACAGATCCCTCTGAAGAGCAAGTCTCAGGTTCTACGACGCCAGGTACACCGACGGCTTTGCGCACGGACGCATCCACGGCACTAATATCAGGTTGTATACCACTATGTATTACGAGCCCCCCGCCCCCCTAGACTCTTGATGATGGCGACGAGCAAAACTTGGGCTTCTGATATATCATGATCAACACTGGTACTAGTCTGTCTTCATATCGGCAGTACGGATGTTCTGAATCCCGTGTTTCGACCCTACTATATCCGCAGCATGCCACGGCTGCACATTTCTTGGTTTTCGAAAGAAAGGCGGCCCGCACAAATGCCGCATTAACGCTTCAAACGAAGTTTACGCTTAATAACACTGAGGCTCTGTCCGGGGTTCCTCGAATTCAATCACTTCTCTGGCTTTCTCCCATCAATGTCCGACTGTGTTTCAGCTATCATTATGTGATCTTGCAGAATAATGCGGGTGAGCACTGGATGGCGTAAATACTAGCAGGGGCTTGACTACGTACGTTCCACCTTGAGCTCTTTTATCTTACAGTTTAACTATCCGTTGTAATTATACATTGTTGAATCGATTTAGACGAGCACTGACGATCACACTCCGAATTTCTTACCCATTGGCAAGGCTCCACCTTCCAGAGATGACGTTTGCGAGAGGTGCGAGTCGGGACGGTAAGTTCCCTACTTCTGCACCAAACATTCGCGACTTACGTCTGCTCTAGCCATGGGCGGCTGCTACTCTCCACCGCCATTGGCTCTTTGCTAACGAGATACGATAGGGCCTCGTTTAGTTTCAGACCTAGAAGCGAATTGTTCAGTGAGAGAGCCCAAATTACGCCATGACTTCCCTTATAACGTCACTCCTCAGAACGAATAGCATTTTGGGCCAGCCATGATAAGGCGTAATTGTACTTATTTGTAGGTACCAGATGGGCTTGCTACAGTCTACTTGCCATTCCGCCTGCATGCGATCCGACTGGGTTGAGTTATCTCATGACGGCCTCGCATAAGCAATCGATACAGCAACCTGAAGAGAAGGGATTTGAAGTTCGCACCAGCAAGGACAGGCTCGGATCATATTATGACGCCTTGTAAACGAAGAGTCCTGATTATCATAACCCCGGGTATCCTCTCGGTCTTATGATATGTCCGCGTGTAGTTGAGCGCTCATGTGTTGATCGAAGTTGACCTCCTGTTCTCCTCAGGTAGTTCGAAAGAACGTTGCGAGATAAAGTATAAAAACAGTAAGCCAAGAAAGCTTTCGAATAGCCCTTACTCTTGCTTCCAACCATGCAGCCCTCACTTATTTTCACGATGCTCGTCACCTTTGCCACTATTGTTGTGGCATATCCCACACCAGAAATGGGGGCGGATTGTACTTGTGAGCACTTGCGCGCCACTCTAGTCAGTGGAAGTGATACTGATATGTTATACAGCTTTGGCTCAGCACGGACTTCCCTGTAACATCGTTGTTTTTGACACTAGGGACCCTGGTTCTCCTGGTTCGCCTGGTTCGCTTGACTCTCCTGACTCTCCTGATTCACCCGACTGCCCCGACTTCCCTGACTCGCCCGATTCTCCCGACTCGCCCGACTCGCCTTCTAGGCGTGAGGATGTTGAACCTAACCATGTCCACCAGAGAGGTAAGTCATTATATGCCTGGTGGATTAATCGATCACCCATGTGTAACACTTATCGCAACAGAAGCTTCTGGCTACCAGTCCAACGCCAAGAGGCGTGACGACTAACATGTATCTAAGAGAGCTATTGGTATTGCTGCTCTTTGTTTCTACTATCATTTCTTATTGTTTTTCAGCTGTAAAATAGGCAATGATTCGCAAGGGGTGTTAGAACATCGTCAGTCCCAACTTGTACTAGTACTTGATGTAAACCAGAATTCGTATTTATATTGGGTTAGACACGATGGAAATTCCGGGTAGCTACGATGTCTCGTGAAATCTACTTTGGTCAAAAGACGACCATATTCGAACACCCAACCTAGTGTGTGAGAAACAAACGCAGCGTGTTTTGAAAGGAGCATGCGGAGGCCATGGTGGTCGAAGCGCAAAAGTTTTCTATAGGAGAGAATTCAGGATGAGTTAGAACAGGAGTATGTAGTTAGGAGGATAGACGTCAAGCGCACATGGCGCCAGACGACAGGTGGAGCTCAGCGCTCAGCACGGGCACAGGTGCAGCACAGACAGGAGAGTCACACGAATTGGTTCCGCGGGATCAACCGTTTCGTACTTATATATTGTAGACGAGGAGGGGGTAAGGTAGTAAACGTCATGTACATGGACAATCAATATGAGCATGTATGGACTGACAACTTTTTTATCTTTATATCATCGCGCGATGTGCCATCAGTTTGTTTGTATCAGTTAGGTTTTAAAGCCTTTGCCAAACAACTCAACATTATGCAACTCAAGCACCGCCAATCCCTCTAGCTATGGCTGATGAATTTGATCTCGAAGCACTCGTGCACTTGGAACAGACGTTGGCTTCATTATTTTTGTAATTGCCAGATCCCTCTAAAGAGCAAGTCTCAGGTTCTACGACGCCGGGTACACCGACGGCTTTGCGCACGGACGCATCCACGGCCTGATCGAAGGTCGAGCCCTCGGACGCGAAAAAGGCTTCGAGATATGGGAAGAGATCGGTTTCTACGAGGGTTTCGCTACCACCTGGCAAGCGATATACGCAAAGCACGGACGGGACGATCAGTGCGTTGACTCGCTTCTGCTCGCCCTGATGATATCTGATTTCTGGTTTTTGCAGACGCGCGGTGCATCATATCAAGTATTTGCTTGATCTTGTATCGCAGTTCCCACGGATAAATCCTTCGGCTGATGCGGTGGCTTCTGGTGCGATGGAAGAGATTGATATTTCGAAGCTGCAGCGCCAGATTCGATCGCGATATAAGGCGTTGTGCGCTTCGCTTGGTGTGAAGCCTACGTTGAGAGCGGTCGATGCTGAGTCTACTGAGGACAGTGGTGTCCAAATCGTGGATCAGCAGAAACAGGTGTGGAAATTAGAAGAAGACGCGAGGAGACCGACGATGCAGGGACTCAGTTTTTGAAGAAGAGGAATTTCAGGATGCACCCAGGATCGCGCTTTTGCGCTCGAAAACATTTACATGTGGATATCCATCCCAAGGCAAGTCCACCTTTTCGTTGAATCTCAAATTTCCCTCATTCTCGCCAGATCACAGATGACAGCAGTAAATCGTATTAAGTAGCTTGGAAATTTATCCAAGTAAGCATAGGTAATACAGTGGAGACATTAAACGCTCGGATCTTTGTCCGAGAAATCATACTAGGTACTCGAGATATCTGATACACGCATGGGCAGTCGATAGCGGTGAAAAAAATGTTATACACTGGTGTCCTCCGAGTACGCAGAACCAAGAAAACGTCGGGTGAGTGGTATCACATTAATGGGAGCAGCAAGCGCCGTTCGAGCCGTTGGCGCCATTCGCTCCATTGAAGGCTGGCTTGCTCATCGGGTCATTTGTTCCTGGGACATCCATGCTCGGATTCTTCGTGAAGAAATTGTTAGGTTTGAACATCAAATTAACGTGCTCAACTGGCATGCTGAGGGAGCGTTAGGTGGCCGGACTCGTATATGCAGTGAGTGGTACTCACACAGGCCAATCCTCAGGGCGAGGAATGTGAGTCGTGCCTACGAAAGAGGTGGGGGGATATCGTTTATCCAATGACCAAAGAATGTGAGCAAGGGTACAACGCACCAACAGTCAGGTAGAGCACGATATCCTCGTTCTCGATGCTTCCGTTTCCATCTTTGACCCATCTGCCAACAGAGTCCTCAGGCTCCTCACGCGTCTGAGGGACGTACTTTCCACTTGGCCACATCCTGCTACCATCTGCACCCTCCTTATCTCTTACAACCCATAACGTCTTGTGAGCAAATGAAGCACGACGAGCAACCCAGGAGTCAGTATGCGCCATAAGTGGAAGCACACCTCCCTTCATCATGATAGCATAACTTGCATCCCTGCCTGATGACTGATGCGTCCTTGCCTGGTTGGTGATGCGCCAACGACGTTCACGGGCCCAGTCGAAGTCGCGCGCGCCGTCTTGCACTTGAGACTTGAGCACCTTGTCCTTCACAACGAAACCGTTGCCTGCGAAGTTCTCTTTCGAGCCAGTGGGGGCGCTGAGAGGGACGATGTCGGACTCGACGACCGAGTTGTAGAGGCCATCGACCATCGGGTCGACCCGAACGGAGAACAGGTGCTGGTGGTTGTGTGCGTTGATACTCGGAGCGATAGTCGTACCGTAAGGGTTGGGTTCGTCTTGAGCAGCGACATACACCTGCAGAATTCCGGTAAGACGGATCTCAATTTCAATGTTACCGTCTTGATAGAAATGATAGTTCCAGATGTACTCTGATTGCAATGGAAACCTCAGCCACCACAAGCCAGATTTGTGTCCCAGTCAACATACCGTAGTTTGCAAGGGTGCAGACCATGCTGACAACAAGACGCCTGCTGCGAACTGTCTGGTGGCGGCCACCGGGACGATAGTCAGTGTGCTTCCAAAGAACACCAGCATCTTCTTCGTGAATACAAATCGCATTCTTGATTATAAACGGAGTCCCGGAATGCGTGACATACGCGCCGGGCTGGAGGAGAATCGGTGAGACACTATCGCATGAAATGACAGTTATGGATACGTACGAGGTAGTGAATCTGTCCAAGGCAGTCACAGCCCAAGGAAAGCTCGTTTGCCATCGTCCCCATGCCATATTCACCACTAGAATAACTTTGAGACGCCCATCAACAGATGTTCGGGATACTACTCACCTGTCGAAAGGCGAATTTGCGAGGATGAGGGAATTCTGGTGCACCATACGGAACAACCATCTCTGCAAGCGACAGACGATACATAACAGGACGAATTTCACCGTCGTCGTTGTAGGTAATGGTCGAAAGTGCGATACCCTCACGATGGCTGAATCCTGCATGAATGTCATCTCAGATAAACAACAAGGCTGAGTATGACAAATGACGAACCGATGTGCATCTTCCACTTTTGCCACTCGAGCACATTGCCATCCATCTTGAATGACACGCCCTCGGGCTGGAGAACGTGAAGAGGCTTGATATCATCACGAGGCTTGTGAGTCGGGTCCGCCTGGAGGAGATCCGGGAGGAAATCGAAAGACCGGACAGGGGGTGGAATGCGCTCTCGTTTTGACTCGGTGAAAGAGTCTTCGGACAATGGGCACGGCTCTGTACTCGAGACACCCAACTTCTACAGAACCATCCTCGGTCCTTTTGTAGGTTGGCGGGAAGTCAATCTGGATAACCTTCTCTGCGAGGGAGTCGATGACTACAACGAAATCCTGTAGTCACATATATTAAGTCGACAAACCCAGCAAATGAATTAAAAAAAACCAACCAATGGGTGGGCATAAAGGTTCTCATGCTCAGAATAACGAGCGAAGACGAAAGCTTGTTGCAAGCGAGTATGTTTCGGGAAGCGGTCATCATAACCGATGGCCCAGCCGTCAGCATAGATTTGGTGGGGTTCCACTCCTACGAGACAGTGAGCAGGATGCCGGGTCACACCGAGTCAGCACTTACCGACTTCTCTCGCAAGGGCTTGAACTGTGGCGTCTCTGCGCACAACATGCTCGCAGAAAGCAAGCTCCTCTGGAGAGATTTGAGGTTCTGAGCCCTCTGCGACTAACCCGCAGGTATCGACGTTCCACGTGCCATCATCAAGAGACAGGATAGCGTTGAAAGTACCCCTATATTAGGATGAGTTGTCGTGTGATCACGATTATTGTACAAAATAACGAACCCGTTGACGACGTCCAAGAACTAAGTGGTAGGCCCGTGGGCGGTTAGAAAAAAAGGAGTAGAATGTTAAATGCATTTTTATTACGTACATCACTTTCGGCTTTCCTGACGATCGGAGTGGGCGCTTCGGGCTGGGCGCCCGGTGTCAAAGGGATTCCTAGTGCCGCAAGGACGGCCCTCTTCGGAGGTGGGACAAGAGTGCAAGTGATGAAGCGGACGGCCTTGATTGGTGTATTTGCGGTAGTGTAAAGCCGGATCGCCAAAGACACTGCATTGATCTAGAAGAGGGAATGAGGACACGTTGAAGGCAGAAAGCCAATCAATCAGTACCTCATCTGGGGTCAAGGGGTCTAGGGGGTGTTTAAACTTGGTTGATTTTATTGTCACGGGTGTGTATACCGTCGTAGCGGTTGCAGGAGAGGCTGAAGGAGCCATATTGAGGAGAGAACACGGAAGTATTGAGGCTGATAGGCTACTGGGGGTCGAAGTGTGCCCTTCTTATAGGTCAGTAATAAAAAAAACTGTAATTATTAGGTTATAAGTGCTTATCATAAATACGAGAGTAAATGGGCACGATGCAACCTGCAAGGAGGATACCGAAACGTGTCTTAGATAAGATATGACTGAGAACATTTTGATAAGGCGAACTAGTGGCGAGAGTGTGGGTTCAGAGAAGGCGCACCACACTAAACCGGATTGAAACCGGTTACCATTCAACTCATCCTACCACCCAAGCGTTGCTGCTTCATCCATGATCATTTACAAAGCAAACATGATTACCAGGTTCAAAGAATAACACTGCTGAAGAACTGGTTGCCTCGGATAAGAGCCATCAAGTAGGTCTCGTGAGCGGTGCTAAGATAGTGGATATCCTGAAGAAGAACTCGGACATGGACCTAGGAAGACATATGTTGGTATCCCGGTTTCCCAATCCGTGAGCTCGACTGAATCACATGCGAGACGAGGTTCGGGCGTGAGACGCCACAGAATTGATGCCTACACGGTTATAATAACCAAAGCATCTGGCGCAAGATGGTCATCACCAAAACCTCGCCAACACAGAGGACCACAAGGCAAGGCTTTGTTCTAACATGCCTCAGGCCCTCGAGGCCTCAGGGGCATAATGCTGAATTCTGATGGGCCTCAAAGACTGATGTCATGTGAGTGCCGTAGTATGCGGAAGCCGCTCAATTCCCCATCTTTACGTTCGACATTTTTACAGGACCCGGTTGATCAACGCCCCTCGAGGAAGGCGCTCCGTGTCATAATCAGCTGGGTAGATGTGTAGCCGGGACTCCGGAAAGGAAAACTACGATTACGACGAGGAGGCAGGGCGAATCAGTTAGATGGCGATGCTGAGCAAGAAACACTGGCAGGGGCGAATCCAGTAAGAGTTACCAGGAAAACCCGCGCTCGAGAACGTGACTTTTTGTTATCTTGAAACCTGTTATGAGCAACAATCTTCCGTGTATAGCGGAAGTGGATAATGCCTTCTATCTCTTCGATAACAAGCGGGGACCTTCAAAGCTTCCGGTCGGTCAGTTGGAGCCGCGTGCTCGGCACACAAAATAAAGCCAGAATGTTTACGCGACTTGGCGTGTTCAACGTATATCGACCATGACGTAATATACCAAATTAGGATCCCATTTACGCGTGCGCTACTCTTGATCCAGTACTCTCTGGAACAGCCTTAAACCAAAGGCTGCTCAAGGCCTTAGGACTGCTCCATGTCCACAAAGGCTTAACAGACCATTCACAATCTTTTGGCGCTCATCAGTTTAGCGATCCTCGCTTGTTATGTCATTACTTGACTGGCGACGCCTATCCTACCCGATGACTCCCTGAGCCTAGTACGTTTCAAAAAGTGACTTAACTTCAAGAGGGAGATACACAAGTACACGTGGCGCTCTATATACGTACGTAGTCCCCTACGAGAGCACTGCCAGCCGACGCGAGCGGCGGCTGGCGACGTCTCTGTTGATATGCAAGAATGCAAGGAAGGCTTTGCATTCACCCTGACCGTTGGAGTCGGTTGGACGGACTCATCATTTCAACAACTTGAATGATGTCAATCGTATGCACCACTTCTCGTTTCGGTGTCCTTTCACAAATCCACTTATATCTAACTCGATCCTTCTTTCTGTTTTGCCCATCCTTCACGCCACCCACGCTTTCATACCTGTCCCTGTTTATAAGAACTCCAGCTAACTTTCGTAGAACCAGTCAATCCATCCTCAGTATTTAACACTTTTCGCATACTCCAATACTCCATTTAGTTACCCAAGTCCACCGAAGTTTCTCCGTGTCTCATCCTGCCCTTATCATTCCATTCCATTCCCCGTCAAACTCGCAGCCTTACTAAGGACCAAGAATGAAGAGGGACGCCCGATATCAACGATAATACCAGATAGTCATAGGTGGAAAAAATGCCTGATCGAGGGTCGTGCCTTCACACCCCCATGGATCTATTGACGAGATTCTGCGGGATCGTTGATGCACGTTCCTTGTGGCAGGGGACAGAAGGAAGTGGGATTGTTTGTTGAACAAAGTCGACAATCATTCCTACACGCCAACTTAACCTTTCGAAGGATTGTTTACATGTCGAATATGCGAACTGCATGTGAGATCTGTCTGAGATGATGTGATTTTGAAGCTGCTTGATGTCAGAGCCGTTTCTATGTATCTATCTTGGCCCACTGTTGAGTGCATCATGCAAGGAATAAGCGCAAGCGTTTAAGCTTGTATTCAATGAGCAAATCGCAAGTACCAGTGAACGTAGTCGATCAAGACCGTGAGAAATGTTTTCCAAAGAAAGTATCCCTAATTCTTGATTAAGTTGGTGAAAAGAGAGCTGACTAGCGACAGGCTACTTGTTCCATCTAGTTTCCAAGTTCATCCTGACCGTCGCAGACGATGTCGAAGCAGGACCCTTTGTCGTCGGAAATGGATTTCATTTCCCAGGACGATACCACACCGTTACATGGCGTGCAAGTCGAGTCCATAGAGTTCACTACCCAGGTCATAACGTCCTCGGCTACTACTAATTCCTCCACTGGACTTTCATCCTCATGCGACCTTTTACCTTCGGAGGCGGGCCAAAAGAAAAAGAAGAAGAAAAAATCAAAGAAGCCAAAGACTCGTGAAGCTATTGATCCTCCGGCAAAATCACGGGCATCCCCTTCACCTGACTTCGAGCGTGCTTCCGTGCTTTGTATTAGTAGAAACAAGCATTGGAAATATATCAGCTCTTACCACGTAACTGTGCTGTCTATCTCATTGAGGCTGCGGAACTGATCCTTCGCGTATTATACCAGGGCCCGTGGCTGCAACTTCCATTGGAATTGCTGGAATCGTTGCTTGTCCTCAATCTTGACCCTGCCACTCTGTCTTCGTCGGAAACGCAGCTTCCTGCTCTTGCTTATTCGTCCCAGACTTCACTCGGAAACATCCAGTCACGACCGACGCCACGTCTTCGCGACCGTGACCGCGACCGCATATTATATTCACTCAAGGATAATACTCCTCCGGAATCACCAGGCAACACTTTGACCACACTACCAACGCCGTATATTCCGACCTCACAGACAGTTGCGTTTCCCCTGCCTGCTCCGGGTAAAGCTACTCCGCCACCCATTGACCCTGGCGTTTTTCGGAACGTTGCAGCGATTCGGAGGCTCATTGATGAGGCTTCTGAACTTTCTGTACGCGCATCCTCTGGTCTCTCGGCTGTTGCTGCTGGCTCTATACGTACACCAATCAATAATTCCTGGGCTACGGCTCAAGGGCTGGGCTTTGACGGCTCCAATAACATCGGCGGTGGCAGGAATGTCGCTATGAGCGCAATGCGCATACATAGGCTTAGAGCCCTTGCTGTTCAGAAGCTTGCAGCCGCTTATAAGGCGGATGAAATTGCCAGCAGCGTCATGGTGATGCAAGGAGGAAGCGTATTTGATGATATCGCTGAGAAAGTTCTCAAGTATGGTATGTTCAGGAGGCCCCATCAATTTTTTCATTGGGGCGCAGCGCTAATGATGCGACTCACACGCAGATCCTAACGACGCTGATGCACGATATGTTCATTTCTTCCATGAAAAAATCCCCTCCCGGTTCGTGCAACGCGTATATAATTCTTTGCCTGACTTTTTAAATTCAGTTCTAATAGGCAACTTGCGGACTCCACATCAACGCAAGTGCTTGATGAATTGATTGTAGCCTATCCTCAGCGCCTGGAATATCATCGGACGCGTGGAATAGTCCACTGTTTCCGCGACGAGTATTCTTTGGCGACAAAAGACTTTACTCATGCGCTACGAGAGTCCCGTGCGGCGAGAAAAGCGCGTACCGCACATCAAGATTTAATTTCTTCCCGCGAGCTTCGAGGGAAAGCTACTAAAAAGAAAAAGAGCTCCAATAAAATTCACGGACAGGCGCCCCCTAGTGGTACCAGTGCCGCTGCGAATGGGACTAATATCCAAGGAATCAATGGGGAGCCATTACTCTTACATCCTTCGGTTTTGCCAGACGCACCAGACCCTATCGAACCACAGTTATTATTTTTGAGGGGGGCAGCGTATTTGCAGCATGCCGTGTACCTCATTGAATCTGCCGTATTGCGGCTCGAGGGGGTCAGCAAGGTCAATTCATCCCTTGATGGAGCTGAGATGCGCCTTTGCTACCTCTCTAATGGCCGCTACGGGGGAGTCGAGATGGGGAATCCTGACGGACCGCTGGGACGCAGTGATGGCCCCAAAGCCCAGGCGTACCGGCAAGTTCTGGCAAACGACGGGTTTCGTGAAAATATTCACTCCCTCCTGAAGAAGAGCTTGCGTGATCATGAACGCTTCCTCTCTCATTTTGACACTCTAGAAGGTCCTGCGCCAATGCAAGCAGATCTGGCCAAAAGGGTGGAGGTTGCCTTCCTTTTAACTGAGCTGGTGCGCCCAAATATTCATATGTCAACCGCCACTGGTCTCGCACATGTCGACTCCATTCTCCCGCCAATGTTCACCACCTATCATCCCTTACTCGTGGAGTCCCACTTCAGTATCCTTATTTGCCAACTTATGCTCGCCGAGTTACCCACTCTCCTTGCCACTTTCTCGCGGACTGCAGTTGTTGTAGACGGGCTGGAGGGATACCCTGTGTTTTTACCTCCACGTTCGATGGCTCAAGCCGAGTTTATCGAGGTCCTCGAACGCCTTGCTAGTGGGTGGATGCCCGGTGTACAACCTCATTCATACATACAGGGTAAGAAGGCGACAAACCGGCTTGTAATTGAGCCTCCACCGCCCCCTTCACCGCCGATGTCTTCGACCGATACTATGTCTACGTCTTCTGCAGACGCAGAATTCTATTCTGCTTTCACATCTTTTTCAAACACATGTCAAATCCCGTCGGGTTCCTCATTGCCCACCAACGGACGAAATACCCCTTCTAGTACATTCAGTGGGAGTCGTGAGGATCTTCTAGAGGCATTGGATTGTGCCAGAATTTTGCTTGTTCCTGTAGCTGCAAGGCAAAAGGAACGTGCTGAGAAGGCAGCAGCGGAAAAAATCAAAGCTGGGAACAAAAAGAAGCCGTTAAATTTCAACATACCGCTGCACGGCCCACGAGTGGAAATCATCCTTGCGTGGTTTGCAGCCGTTCATCTTGTTGAATTGGAGAGCGTTGCTTGATATCAATCACACCTGTGGCGGAGTCTTGGTTTTGATGGAGAGACGGTGTATTTCTTGGTCAGGCACACGCCGTAGTCTACCGAGATGCTAACTCGATCTATTAGTATGAAATGGATTCTCTTTGACGCGCGTAAAATGACAGTGTTTGTATCACGAGTGCTGGATCGCCCACGGTCGAGATGAAACGCCACAGCATCGAGAAAAATGCATGTATACCGCACGACTAACACATCTCAGTGTTCCTTCTTTTCCTCAACTGTGCTAAAATCGCGCAATTCCTGTCTAGCCTCCTTTATGAAATGATCGAGATAACCAAGTATCCACGGTGTGGCTAGAGCCGCACAGGCCAGAACGGGGATAAGGAAACACGCAGCAGGAACGAGAGAAGCCGGTATAACGCCAAGATAGAGTTGTTCGAGAACGAGAATGAATGATATCGGTCGAGCAGCCGAAACAGGGAGATCAGGTGTGCGTGTGGGTGTGCGTATGCCAGTATCAACGACTCGTATCCTGGCGTACTTGAGGCGAGTAGTGGATAAACCCGTGCGCGATAAATGCGGCGTAGTGATGGAAGCATCGTCTATCGCTGACTGTTGCGGTAGTCTAGACAAACGGGTCAAGATCGCCTGAGGACTGTGGATTTCAAGCAAAAAATCCGCGGGGGACTGTAATAGCGACGCTCTGTGAATTGGGATTGGGATTGGAATGAAAAAGCGTGCGACGCACGGAAGCAGGCCAGGATAGACGTAGCGTAAACTTTGAATAGGACATCCAGTTTTCATCATCGAGATCTAGCGCTACCCAGAGCTCATGAAGGCATGAGAAGGGGTTCGCCGGATCAATGCCTGTCTCTGACTCGCATACCTGCTGCAAAGGCGTGTCGAGCAGAGGGGGATCTACGTTCCAATACCCCTGATTATTTTTGTAATTCAAAACTGGCCTGCACGCAGGACTGCGTCAAGACACCAGGAGCTGCTCCAAGCATCGTGTTCGAACTTACCAGCTGTCAACCGTGGTAGACGAGAAGTCGACATTGCTTTCCTCAGCGGCAAGGAAGTTGATAATTTCCGTGTTGGCGATGACTTCCTCGCAAATGAATAGCACAATAAGGGGCAGGGTAATGAAGGGGTGAAGCATGAGAGCAAACATTTACAATTCACGCTGGTTGGATGATTGCGGTCCCATTTAGAGTATTTGCCTCCGCTTGCACAGTGAGGATGGAGTCAGAGACGGGATTACGAGACCACTTATCAACTTCGATTTGATTCACAGTACGGCGCAATTGAAACGCGGAAAGTAAAGACGTATGTAAGATATGACTACCATGTACGACTGAGGGAGACCAAGAAACCTGCTTTGGCCAGACCAGGCAAAACTATCATAATTGGTTTATCAAAAAGGATGTTAAGGTACGCAGATAGTGATTTGCAATAGGTGAGGCGGTAATGCCGGTTGAAAATGAAAAAAAAAAGTATAGTAGAAGAGTAGAAAGTGATTATCTGTGACGAAACCATGTGGATATGGCATGTGAAGGAACGCAGACAACACGAGGGCTAGATACGAAGTATCCGGTTATAGCCTGTAGACCTTCAATGGTCATGTAGAACTTACCATGTTACAATGTCATGCGGGCAACGCCGTTGAGGAGATTATCCATGACGTCTCGGACTGCCCTGAACTTCATCACACCGCAACGCTCACTCTCAATGTGCTGGCACAATCCACTAAGGGAGACGAAATGCTTCCGGCAGGTATCGAGAGGGCACCGATAGACCTTCTCCTGGTGGCGAGGGCTATCCAAGTGACGGTTCAAGTCCATCAACGCCCGGTACTGCGTGTGACAAAGAACACATTCATAGGCCTGCCCGTTCCACGACTGCTCTGTAGCGATAAGCTTAATGTTGGCACGTTCGCCAGCAGTGATGAGTCGCGCTGGGTTGGTAATCACGTTCGAGCGATCATTGGCGCGGACCCAGTTGTCAACGACGCGTCGGTTGACGCCTGATCGGCATGAGCCGGATTCAAGATGGAGAATGAGTGCAGACTTGTTGATGAACCCCAAGCCACATCCGTTGAAGGGGCAGATAGTGTCTTTAGGGCGGTGTGTACTAGAATTCAAATGCTAGTTCGTCGTAGGTCAGGTTTTGCGCAGGCCTAAGAATGAAGTGAAACTTACAGAGTGAAGGTTGCTTGGAGTCTGGAAGAGTCTTTTGCACAGAACACAATACACGTTGGCGTGACTCTGCCGGTTATGCTCGTGCAAGCCTAATTCGTTCTTGAAGACTTTGTCACAAGAGCCACAGTAAGCGTGCTCATATTCGTAATGGTCCTGTAGCTCCGATGAGTCGTCGAAATGGATGTTGCAATACTGGCAGTAGTGATGGCGGCGGCTCTGAACGTAATGTTCTTTAAGTCCTAGCCGAGAGTCAAAGTCCTGTTGACAACGAAAGCATTCCCAGTGATTGGGGGAGTCTGTGAGATGCTGGTGGTAAGCAGGCCGGGAGTTGAAAGAGCGGTCACAGCGAGAACAGTAAGCCATCTTCTGGATAGCTATACTGAAAATATCTGAGTTGTTATAGGCGTGTTAGTGGTACCTCAAGAACTTATAGTGACTGTGTCGTCGTAATGACTCCCGATGGTTCTCGAAGAACGACAAAAGGTTGAGTGACTCGACTCAGACGCGAGTCGCGCTGGCATTTATAGTAGTGGTGCAAGGGGTCCCAGACGCGTCGGCGTCAAACAAACGTCAATTCTGCCACCACTGAACTGCTTGAGCTAAACGTCACACTCAATCCGCTCGCCATGTATTCTGCTTCCGCGCAAAAAGCCAAGAGACGCACGCATACACGTCCCGAGCTTACCGATGAACAAAAACAAGAGATAAAAGAGGCCTTTGAACTGTTCGACACGGACAAGGATGGCTCGCTGGATTATCACGAGCTTAAGGTAGCGATGCGCGCCCTCGGCTTTGACATGAAGAAAGCAGAAGTATTGAAGATACTACGAGATCATGACAAGAGCGGCCATGGTCTAATCGACTTTGAGGATTTTGCAAAAATCAGTTGAGTAGTTCAGCTCCATTAATTCTACTCAAGCGATGAGTCCGCGCCAGATCCCCAACACGCGTCTCATGTTTACATGATTGGATCTCCATAAAATAGGATCTCTCACGCCTACAGCGCCTTCTCTCGTGATTGCGCGCCCTTTTTGCTAACGTTGTTTACCTAGTGAGCGAACGGATCCTGGCGCGAGATCCGATGGATGAAATCCGCCGAGCCTTCCAATTGTTCGATGATGACAACACAGGAAAAATTAGTCTGCGGAATCTTCGACGTGTCGCAAAAGAGATCGGTGACCGATTGGAAGATGATGAATTGTGAGTAAATTCCATTCATTCTCGTTTTGGGGTGCAAGGTCTGCGAGAGGCACGTAGGCACTTCGTCCCAGTAACCCTTTTTCGTGCTCGTTACTGCATCGGCTTCCTTCTTTTGCATTTCCGCTTTTTCTTCACCGCCGTTTGGCAGTGACTGATTTGTTTCGTTCGTGATGTTCCTAATTTGCTCACCCCTTGTTCTTCCATTTCGCAGGCAAGCAATGATAGATGAATTTGACCTCGACCAGGATGGAGAGATTAACGAACAAGAGTTTTTCGCCATCATGACAGATGATGCATAGCTCTCTTCCTTGATGGTTGTCACCTCTTCCTATTTTCTCGAGTTGTATACTGTTATACCCGCTCTGGCTGGTTATTATCTATTAACTCCCAATTGTTTAGTAATATATTGCGATTGTTCTCTGTCTGGAACATTCACGAATTTCGTCCTGTGAGTCATTTTCTAACCAAGAAAGGCGCCCTCTTATTCGTAATATAAACAGCTGTGCCATGTTCATTAGAATCCCTCGTGTAATTGTACAGCTACCGGCTGATATGTAATACGCCGCTGAGTTATGTCTATTCTATGAATCCTTGTGACGCGGCCCTGGTCCCCACTGCGAACCACGATCGGGAGCCGTAAAACTTGAGAGACTGCCAAGAAGAAGCTAACAGGCTGCCGGACGGCGCAGCTTGAATTGATGGCACATAAAAACACATGCATTTATTGTCCACTCGTGGCTACATAGCCTTGATCATAGGGCCTATAATTCCCCAAAGAAGACTAAGAAAATAACAAAACCCGTAAAACAAAGCCCCAAAATAAACACCCGAGTAAAATACTTTACAACCATAACGTATGGCTACATACGCAGACTGGCGTTAGGATACGACTGAGAATGATGAGAGGTAAATAAAAATGCTGTCCATGATAGTGCAAGCGATGAGTGATAAGGATACAGCGTGGCGATGGAATGCAGGGATAAGATACAACAGGATTGGCATGGGGCATTGAATTTTCGTGGCAGCGTCGGTAGATGTCAAGAAAACGTTCGTCAAGGATGGCATGTAATCGGCGCATAGTGGGCGCAGTCTTCTGCAGCGAACAAAGACTGCTCTACGGATAGAACAAGAGCTCCGGGTAACTGAGAGCCGAGAGCGTGTGGCGACGATAGCGACATACTAGCCGTCGACATGGAGATGATGCGAAGGAGCGGGGCGAGAGTCACGAGAATGTAGGTGCTTTGAAAGTGGCGATGACATGACAGAGAAGCGAATGGCAGACATAAGCTAACCAGGACGACGTGTGGCAATGAGGACGCATTGTGACGGTCAATGCAAACATGGAAGGAACAAGAAAATGAGGGGTCATCAAATGAATTTCGGGTGCAGGAGATGAGCCGGGATCGAGAGATGGAAAAAGAGTCGTAGAGCGAGTAAGAGAAAGAGTGGGTCGAAGAACAATGACGCAATGGCCAGACCTGGCGAAAAGCCGACTACACCGCAGAAGAATATACGGAGAACGCGCAAGTCCTGCGCGTCCGGAATTCCGAACCAACGACAAACCTGAAGCCGTTGTCGAAATCACGGTGGATGCAATTAAATGTCATCCATCATACCCATCCTCTCCATCAACTTGGGAAGATCCTTATGGACTTTCATGTGTTGGCCTAGGTTATCGTGCCGACTAAACTCCTTTCCACAACCAGGGTATGGACATCTATGCGCTGCCGTTGTTGATAAGAACGATGGAATAGACGGTAGAAAAATTTAACTTACGCTTTTCATTGGTGTGGATGCTCCTGATATGTCGTTTCAGGTGCTCTCCTCTTGCGAAACACTTGCCACAACCGCTAATGTCACACAAATAGATCCGACTTCCGAGGGGGTCACTATAACCTCGGGCCCGACCGCTGCCGCCGGCATTATTCACAGTCGGCACGCGACGACCCCTCGACTTCTTCGTGAGGTTAGGGACTGGAACGGGAACAGGGAGGGACCGTGCGTTCTTGCGAGACTTTCCTACCTGAGATGACAAGCCTGGCGTCAAAGTGGAGGCAGCAATAAGAGGTGACTTCGCAGCACGCTTTGGTGCAGGCTGTGGGAGTCCTGAGCCATAGGGATGGTACCGCGCCGAATTCCTGCCGGAAAAAGATCGAGAACGTAAGCTTCGCGTGTTCTTTGACGTTGTTCGCATGTGGGGTACGAAGTCGCCGTCTCCATCATCATCCTGTACTTCTTCCGCGCCGTAATCATCGTCGTTGTCAAGGCCAACTTCATCAACACCGTCTGCGTCTTCTTCGTCGTCCAAACTGAAATCATCGTCTCTCTCGACAAGGAAAGTTTCACCAGACTGTTGCATGAAGCCCTGTGGCATGAAGTGACGCTTCCCTGAACTATGTCCACCATTGGAGCTGGACCCATGGTGATTAAAAGCTGCAATGTCTGGCTCGCCTTCAGCATCCTCATCCTCAGGTTCCGGTAGATCCGTGAACCCCATCACGGGTGATACCTCTGCAGGTCGCACAGTTCTCTGCTCCTGCAAACCCTGTGTCTGAACTCTCAAAGCCTGTCGTTGCTGTTCCTGTTCCTGGCACGTGCGCTCACAATCGCTGACAATGGATGATCCAAGATACGCTTGTCGCGGAACAGGCGCAGGCAGTACAGGCATGCTCATCGATGACAACGAATTGCTTTGGCTTGGTATATAGTGCATTACCAGTTCCGACATACCAGTGTTGTGCTGCCCAATTGGGGGTGAGCCTGATGCTGAGGACGTCAGGTACAGGGGTCCAAACATTCGACGAGTACGCACCTGTCTCAAAAAGACCATCGTAGATTGTCAAGCTGGTGGGCGAGTTGGAGATATCAGCTGGTGGGCTGTAAGAAGCTACAAGGTCGTTAATGCTTTCTACTTTGATGTTCTGACGAGGCTGCTGGTAGCAGGCATGCGAAGCTGGGGGGACCGAAGCCGGGAAAGCATGATAAGAGCTTGTGGCCGCCTGCGGCTGGTATGCAGCATCAAAATCCTGTGGATAAGAGTGTGCATCGCTCCCCACAGGATGGGTGAGATGAGCTGCGGGTGTAGGAGGAGAATCATACAAGGAGTTGCTGTATTGCTGAGGATCCGTTTCCTGCTGCGGTGGAGGACACAACGGTTGGAATTTCTTCGCTTCAGGTGAATAAGAATACCCCATTGCGACTGACAAGGGCATGGGCAGCGGCGCTGCGACAGGCTGCTTATACACCTCTGGGTTCTCGGCCACATACCCCGATAGGAATGCCCGTGGAGCGTGCGGGAACAAGTATCCAGTAGCGACCAGGTCATCGGTCATGATGTAGGGGTAATAATCATCACCAACAACATGCGATGTGTCGTTCTCCATTGAATCGATGGGAGGTTCGGGAAGCGGACTCTCGTTGGCCGAGGATGAAGAGAGCGGAGATTCAGCGGAAGCGGCTGAACTGTCCGACGGGAATGGGCTATAGTCTGGGAGTGGCTGGGGATATGGCGACTGCTGTGCGAGAGAGTAGTATGAATTGAAACGAATAGAGGGGGAGAAATGGCCAAGACTAGGACTAGACCTAGAATGTGAATGCGTGCGAGTGAAATACGGGGAGCTTGTCATGTTGACAGCCGCCGAACGTCCAGACTGTTGTCGTGGGGCTGGCTGATGGGGGAAAGGATAAGGAGCAGAGTCGAAATAAGAGGGACGAATATTCGAGTCCATTTGAATTTAAGGACAGAGTTGTAATACGGTCTTGCCTTGTCTGGAGTGAATATAAGCCCAGATTTATCTGAGGACATTAAAATAAGGGAATTGATTTGAGTTGGAAATTATTGGTCATACCAAGGACAATCGCCAGGTTCGCGCACAAGGCAAGCGGTCGCGTTCAGGTACCTTAAGCGGATGTGATCGTGTGGCTGTGAATGTAATTTACAATTGAGGGGGAAAAAGATCTGAGAATGGAACAATCGCGGGGAGCGCGTTGGTCGACGGCGGGACACCGAGGCCTAGAAAGTTGTATGGAAATGTGATCGAGGGCTGTGGAGCAAATTGCTGCCAGAGTGCACTGCTCTTCAAATGAGTCACGTCGTGTTCAAAAATCGTGAGTGTTCGTCAAATTGATGTTTCTGTTAGAAGCGATGGAGAACAATAAAAGAGTCAACTTCTGTCAATGAGTACCGCAGTTTCTGAGCGGCGATGAACTTGAAGGTGAAGGTGAAGGAGGGACAGCCTACGAAACGAGAGCAGATGATAAACCGAGAATCTAGTACTGCAACCTTAGTGCCACTAGTACAGCATAAAGAAACCTTGCACCGCCGACGAACCTGGTAGTGATACGGAGTCAAGAGAACGATTTAGCGAAACTCATTTGCGATCATAGAGAAGCCTTACCTGTGTACTATTGTTGATCCTACTTTGCCGGATTGCCAGTTCTTCGATGGGGATCTTTCGGTACCAGCTTTCCTTAATGGCTATCCTCTGGACGAGGTCCTTTTCAATCGAAAAGTATAGCCACATTATCCGAGTCATGCTCGGTGGTCATAGCACGAGGCTACTGAACACTTTTCGACAATCTTTGCTCTTTTGGAGAGCTACGGTTCTCAAGCACCGGCAGGCAGCAGCTACCATCTCAGGCTAGAGCCTGATCTAAGGTTTGTGCGGAAGCTCCGATCTAACAGCAGCTGATCTCAAGCCGTGAACGTTCATCTACGTTATCATCATCGTAACGGGTTTGCAAATCACACGGATGTTCTACCCTTTTGGCCCTCTCGAAGAGCATCTCTACGTCAGAGTATTCTTCGTGCTTTATTTTGCACAGGTAGGGATCTCGTGAGCTGCCTTCTATACTCACAGAGATATCGTTAGTTTAGGTACAAAGTTGTGCCTAAGCTACCTCAGGCTTCTTTGATCTATCTGTCGTCTACACCACTCATTTCCTAACGCGAGGCACTCGGCTCCCTGCAGCCTGATATTTTACTCCTCCCTGCAGCGTAAAACCTCTTTACGGTAGCTAATCAGTCCGTTACCCAGGAAAGGCTTCCGCTCCATCCTGTCACCGCATGTCAGTCGCGCCAGGGGTGGCAAAGCGACGTAAATCAAGAATTCCTCGAGAAGCTCCCTGAGAGTTTCACCTCGCACTTTCATATCTATGGATCGGAAATCCACTCCCGCAGGTCCCCACACCAACCGTGCTACTTACCTTCTAAATTCATACTGCGTTGCCGTAGACCTCACCATCCCTTTCCAATCACGTACTTCTCAATCACCCCAGCCACCCTGATTGCGGTGTGTATCATCTATTTATTGGCTTCTACGGGAAATTAGACCAGAATCTATTCATGGCACTTGACATGAACGACTACATCCCTGGGAATCACATTCGTATCGCGCCGCATATCGATTTTAATCGATGGTTTCATTTATGAAGAGGTCGGTTGGCAGGCGTGTGCACGCCATTGTGATCCTGGATAGAGACTTGCCAAGAATCAACAATGCCGCTCAACCTTCCTTTTTGCGGTTGATACTCGAATCTAAAGCGCCTGTTCTATCTCCATAGAGCAGGGGCGTTATGGAAATGCCCGCCAGA